ACTGTGCGACTGAACAGCAACAACAACAACAAATTGAGACAAGGAGGCCTACTAGTTAGGGAAGGCAGCATTAAGGCCCTGTGCTTTTCTGCTGTCAACGCTCACATGCCAGATGTTGTACAAATGACAATCTAAGGGTCAAACTGAAGAAGATGTCAGGGGCGTCTGTGACTGGAACGTCAGAATGGTCTTCTAGACTTCCACCTGCCTCCCACTGGCTACTAATTGCCCTTTCTGAACGTAGGTAACCTGTATGCTTCTTCCCCAAGGGGCGAACAGAAGCTGCAGCGTGGCATCTGAAGTTGGGCCAAGTGGCACTGTGAGAAAGAATTTCCCCCTCTGCAGCCCTTCCCAACTGGGGTTTCCCGTGGCTCCTATTTTAGCAATTAAAAAGTGTGCTGGACAACTAGTCATGCTTCGCCTATTGTCTTGCCTTGTTTAGTTCTCCATAACCCACCTGGGCAGGACAGACACTGACTCAGATTTCTCTCGCACTACATTTTTCAGGAATCTCTTCCTCCTCCTCCCTTTACACGATACGCGTAAATGTTTGTGCAATGCAAGAGTACAAACAAATACTCAGCAGTGGGAAACACCTTGAATTCTCAGAAGAGTGACTGCCGTGGTCTTATCAGTATTGCTATGTCACATGCCCAGAAAACTGACCTGCTGGCAGAGGCCAATCCTGACTCTGAAAGGCTTTTCCTAAACCAGGGGTCCCCCAACCATTTCGAGGCAGGGGGCGCCTCTGGAATTTTGCCACGGCGTGGTAGCGTGCGGCTATAAAATGGCTGCCACAAGAGGGGAAGCCGGCCACAAAATGGATGTTGCAGCTTACCTTCAGTCATACGGAGAAGATCTTTGTGCTGTGGTGGCAGCTGCTGCCAAAGCAACATTAAAAAAAAAAACAACCCTGCTCAGCCGATCAAATTGCCAGTGGTTCATCAGAAGGTTGGCTGGGCAAAAGACCACATCTGCCCCTCCCCCACTTTTCCAAACACTTGGCGGGTACCAAGGAAGGTTCCAGTGGGCGCCAGGCGATGCTCCCTCTAAGCTGTGGAGTCCTGTGGGCAAAAATTCTACTTTGTGAGCGACTGGCATTAAAAGTTGTGAGCCAGCGATTTGGCGGCTGCATAAATCAGTTTGCTCTGGACCCCTCCTTCCTGAGCTAAGACAAAAATGCATGAGCTGGAGGTTAAAAAACTGTGAGCTAGCTCACACTGACTCAGCTTAGAGGGAACACTGGCACCATGGTGCCCACGGGCACCTGGTTGGGGAATCTCTGCTCTAAACCCTCCACCAAGCAGGCCTGGAGTAATTCCACCACAGCTAGTCAGATACAGGAGGCCCATGAACGTACAGATCAGCTGAGACAGTGCTGTTAAAGACCATGGCGGAAAATGAGGAAGGAAAGGGTGGCAAGCAAGAAAGACCTCAAAACTGGGCATTAACAACTTGTTAACAACTTGGGTCTATGAATCCTCTAAGAACAGAGATCAGCCTATGATGCACTGTTTTGATCAGTGGCGCACGGGAGGGAGGGAGGGAGAAAGAGAGAGAGAGAAAACCCCCAAGACCCCAGTTCCACAAACCTGGCAGGGACTGTCACTTGGCTCCCCTGTCCACAAAACTCACTTCGACAGCAATCATCTCTGTGCTTTTCACTTTCCTTAAGGTGCTTGTCCTTTTGCTACCCCCATTCTTTCTTCCTTTAGGCCAAGAGCCTTCCACTTTTCCCCCAGCCCAAGGCAGGGCGGCCCCAGGGTAAACCACCATGGTTTCCTTTTTAGTTACTTTTGTTTGTTTTTTTCAAGACAGACAAAGAGAGAGAGAAACCAGATCAAAATGAAAGAGTAAGGGAAAACACTGACAGGAAGGAGAGACTGAAATATATAAAAACTAAGGTAAGCGGAACTTGGAGTTATACAACAGAAAATGTTGAAGGCAGGTCGTCCTAACAGCAGCCGAACTACACACAGTGCTTAATGGTTCATAAGGTTATATGATAATAAGGGTTACTGTGCAGAACAGACAAATCAGACTTAATACACATACAGTTCTGTATGCATTGCGATTGTTGCGTCCCAGGTATTTTTTACATTATGCATAACACTGCAGTGTTTATAGACAGGGCAATCTACTTTCGAGCTCCTGTCAACATGAGATTCCATTATTTGTTTAACTCTATTCACAGTTGTTTTGAATAGCTTGTTGTCTTGGCGGGGCGGTTGCCAAGGAAGTCCTTATCTCTGCTCCGCTGCAATGTCCAGATGTTAATAAACAATAAATGCTCCTGAAATAAGTTTCTCTTTCTGCCTTACTGGCTTATAGAGTTGCTATGACCTGTCTTCAGTTGCAAAGCAGATCAGCTTTGTTTTGCTTTCCTTCATTCACACGAGTGGCTTTCAAATCTCTCTTCGTGGTGCCATTGTGAGAATAAAAGGCAAGGGATCAAGCGCACCACCCTGAATGCCTTGGGAGAAGGGCAGGGTAAAAATGCGAGAGGCTTAATAACCATAAAAGGCATACACGCACAGCATGAAGCAGTGGTTAGAGGGAGCAACTAGGTCTGCAATGACCCATGTTCAGATCCCCATGCAGCCCTGAAGCACACCAGCAAGCAGCTACCTTGGAGGGTTGTTGTGAGGATAAAACAGGGGGGGGGGGAAGCCATGCATGCTGTAACGGCAACCACAAAGGACAAGACACACCCCCACTGCATACTTAATAGCAGCAACAAAAAGGAGTCTCAAGACACTTTAAAACTAGTCGTGGCCACGCTCTGTGGATTACAGCGCATTTCAACAGATGTGTGAGGCTTATCTTTCATTAGCAGACACATTAGAGACGCAGAGTTACGAAATTACAGCACCCATCACACATGTGTGTGTTTGTACGAATACATCAAAACTAAAAGAACAGTTTTATGTCCGCATGTAGATTTGGATAAACAAAGTAAAACATCATGCATGCGTGTTTGAATATACAGAGTTTCATACATAATACCTACATATACAAACTGCAGCCACGGTGGCACATGGACAGCCTTTCCATGCAAGAATGCATACAAATCGAGAGCAACAGACACGTGTGATTTGTACACATTCTACACTGTGCAAACATGTAACAGAATTTTGAGTCCAGTGGCACTTTTAAGGCCAACAAAGTTTACACAACTTATACCCAGAATTAAACTTTGTCTTAAAGATGCCACTGGACTCAGACTTTGTTCTATTGCAACACGGCTAACCCGCCTGAACCTAACAGAAGTGTGATTATTTCACACACGCCTACTGCTATTTACGTGTCTTACCTAATGCGTTATTCCAATCTTAGCTGTATTCATTGCTCAGTTATTTAGGCACCTTGCCTCTAATTAGCTCTTCCTGGCAAGTAAACCCCCCCATATGTAATATTTGAGGAAATCTGTTTCAATGAATCGGAGTTAGTGTACATATTAAGTCTCCCCATTCTCGCCTGTCCCCAGATTTGAACTTCATTTGTCTTGTGGGTGCCACTGTCAGACTCCTGACGAAACTTGCTCTCAACAATACTCTCTGTGGTAGCGTGATATGTTTATTGTTAAGTAGTGTGCTATGCCTTGTTAAGTCCCAGTCGGGACCAGTGTTCCCTCTAAGCTGAGTTAGTGTGAGCTAGTTCAGAGTTTTTTTAGCCTCCAGCTCACCCATTTCTGTCTTAGCTCAAGAAGGACGGCTCCAGAGCAAACTAATTTATGCTGCAGCCACTGTTGCTTGCTCAGAACTTTAATGCCGGTGCCTCACAAAGCAGGATTTTTCCTCACAAGACTCCACAGCTTAGAGGGAACATTGGCTCGGGACCAGGGTTCCCTCTAAGCTGAGTTAGTGTGAGCTAGCTCAGAGTTTTTTAGCCTCTGGCTCACCCATTTCTGTCTCAGCTCAAGAAGGGTGGCTCCAGAGCAAACTAATTTATGCAGTGGCAACGTTGCTTGCTCAGGACTTTAATGCCGGTAGCTCACAAAGCAGAATTTTTCCTCACAAGACTCCACAGCTTAGAGGGAACATTGGCTTGGGACCAGGGTTCCCTCTAAGCTGAGTTAGTGTGAGCCAGCTCACAGTTTTTTAGCCTCCGGCTCACACATTTTTGTCTCGGCTCAGAAAGGATGGCTCCAGAGCAAACTAATTGATGCAGTCGCCCAATCGCTCGCTCACAACTTCAATGCCGGTAGCTCACAAAGTAGAATTTTTCCTCACAAGACTCCACAGTTAGAGGGAACATTGGCTCGGGAACACTTCTGTGTCAGAGCTAAAGTTTAAGGCGCAAACTACAGATATAGGTAATTCAAGCAAGTCCCCCTACAGCTCTTAGCCAATCAGCCTGTGCGTCTAGCATGTAACCTTCCTACCTCCCCCCTACCTATCATTCACCCGTGTGTTTATCTACACGCGGTAACAGCGTTCCGTGCGCCTCGGTGTTTAGTCATGCCGGCCACATGACCACGGAAACGTCTTCGGACAGCGCTGGCTCTTCGGCTTGGAAACGGAGATGATGAGCACCGCGACCCTAGAGTCGGATTCGACTGGCTTTCGAGCAAGGGAGACCTTTACCTTTATCTGCCACAGATAAGTCTGGCAGAGGCGGCGCCCGAGGTCACTTGCTTCTTCCCAGGCGGGAGGTGCTGTCCAAGGACGGCTCCAGAGCAAAGTGACGGAGGCAGCAGCCACATTGCTCGCTCACCACTCTCGCAGTCTTCGGACAGCGCTGGCTCTTCGGCTTGGAAACGGAGATGATGAGCACCGCGACCCTAGAGTCGGACTCGACTGGCTTTCCAGCAAGGGAGACCTTTACCTTTTACCTTTATCTGCCACAGATAAGCCTGGCAGAGGCGGCGCCCGAGGTCACTTGCTTCCTCCCAGGCGGGAGGTGCTGCCCAAGCTCCAGAGGTGCTGTCCGAGGACGGCGCCAGAGCAAAGTGACGGAGGCAGCAGCCGAACTCTCGCGCCTCGGGCCCTCCCTCCTACCTTGGCGCTGCGGACGCTCTCCCGGTCGCCGAGGAGGCTGAGCCAGATGCGGCGCTCGCCCTGCCGGGGCTGCCGGACCCCCAGGGGCGCCCAGGCCCCTCCGCCCAGCTCCCCCAGCACGGCCAGGCGCACCCGGAAGAGGCGCTCGATGCCGCCGCAGCTCCGCTTCAGGAGGCCGCTCTTCTCCGCCGGGGCGGTGAACTCGTCCAGCACCGGCCGGGCCCCGCCCCCGCTGCTGCTGCTACTGCTAGCGAAGGCCGCCATCAGCGGAGCGGCGCGGAGGCCTCCGGGCACTGGTAGCGCTAGCCCTGCATCACTATGCCGCGCTGACGTCACCATGAGGCGCCCGAGCGACGCAGCCGCACGTCCGCGAGCCGCAGCCCCCGCCGGACTCGGCTCCAAAGGGCTACGGTCTCGCTAGGGCTCCAGTCAGACTTCCGGTGTTCCAGCTTGCGCTTGTGGGTGGCGGAGGGGGCCGGACCGCTTCCGACCGAAGGAGAGGGGAACGTCTGCTTCTCTCTCTTGAAAAAGTGCGCGTGGACACGAAAGCTCATACCTTGAATAAACCTTTGTTGGTCTTAAAGGTGCCACTGGACTCTACATTTCTCCTTCCTTCCTTCCTTCCTTCCTTCCTTCCTTCCTTCCTTCCTCCAGTCCAGACAAGTCCAGAGACAAACTTCAAGCTTTGCTCCAAGAGATAATGGACTATGCGGATCCTAGCCCACTGGAATCAGGGGGCTAGGTTCCCAGGAGTGCCCATGGGACTCTCAGCCACTGTAAATAACCTATAGGGAAGTAGGGGTGTGTTTGGGGTGGCAGTTTCTCAGGGCTCTGCAAGCCGGCCAAAGTTGTCTTGTTCTGAGCTGAAATAAAGTATGAGAGCTGAAATCACTAGTAAGTCTCAGTACTTTTCTCTTTCTTTCTTTCTTTCTTTCTTTCTTTCTTTCTTTCTTTCTTTCTTTCTTTCTTTCTTTCTTTCTTTCTTTCTTTCTTTCTTCTGATGTTTATTACTACAGTGATAAGACTTCGTATCCACAGCTCCTATTGCATAACTCGATCGAGGCATCATTACAAACATACAAAACCCCAATACCTGGAAGTATATTTCTAGGAAATGTCAACGTACCGAACATTGCACGGAAGTGCCAAGGCCAACAGTTGGATCACTGGCTCAGCAGCAGGGACTTTTGTTTCCATCTTAAGAGTGACGAAAAGTTGCCAGCAGCATTTTCTAGAGAAACTACAATAGGACAGTTTATTCAAAGTGTAAGCTTTCGTGTGCAAAGCACGCTTCTTCAGTTGAAGCGGCTGAACAAAGCTTGAGTCCAGGGGCATCTTTAAGACCAACAAAGTTTTATTCAAACTTTAAGCTTTCGTGTGCAAAGCAAAGGACACTTCTTCAGATTTGGAGGGTGGAGCCTGAGTGGTGGCTTTTGGGGTTGGAGCCTGAGGAGGGCAGGGTTTTGGGAGGGGAGGGACCTCAGCAGGGTATATTGTCATAGAGTCCATGGTCCCCCAAAGCAGACATTTCCCTCCAGGGGATCTGATCGTAGACATCTGGAGATCAATTTTTTTTTTTAATTTAAGTTTTTTATTGTATATTCAGAATATTAACATAAACAACAATTCCTGTAAAATACATTTCAGAACATTTCAGAATAGATACTTCGCAAGTACCTGCTTTTTTAAGTAAATTTGCAATAAGCATGGTAGAGAATAATTGAAACATTGTACATTTAAAGACATTAATACAAGTATATAGCTTTAGAATACTATACAATCAAGAGCAACTGTTACAAGTGATTATGTAGAGATTCTTTGTTACTGTTCTACTTGAAAAGTTTTAAACGACCTTGTTACATGAAAACCAGTTGCGACTGAGCAATGTTTTGTGATATAGGTTTTCAGAACCATTTCAAGTAATCTTTCCAAGATGGAGGTATGTATTCTTCCTCCGATAGATAAGACAGAATTGGAAACCACTTTGCACTGAACGTTTTAATTGAGTTATTTTTCATGTAAGTACCCATTTTATCAGTTATACTTTCGAGGACATATTGGTCCCATAGCTTTCTGAACCAGATACGGATGTCAGGGGTATTCTTGTCTTTCCACATTGAAGCTATAGAGACTCTTGCAGCGTACAGCATTGTTTCTAGCGTATTTTTATTGTGATGTTGCTTGATCTGATTCGGCCACAGCTCTAATAATAGGCTTTCAGGGTCAAGTGTTAGGTCAATATCTAAGATCTGTTTTATCTTATTTATTACTTCTATCCAAAAGGATTTTATTTTTGTACATTGCCACCAGCAGTGTGAAAATGATCCCAGTTCACCACAGCCTTTCCAACATTTTGGTGAGTATGAAGATGACATATGTGAGATAGTTTGAGGTGTTAAGTACCATCTTGTTATGATTTTAAGTTTTTGGATTTCAACTGCATACGAGTGAGGTTTGTTTTGAGAAGACCTCCAGATCTCTGTCCAGTTTGTTTCATCTAATTTCTTTGAGCAGTCTTTCTGCCAAGCTTTCTGGTATTTTAGTGTTTTAGGATCATTGTCTTTGAGCAGTAGTTTATATAAAGCTGAGATCATACCTTTGTTTTGGAGACTGTACTTTTTAAGAATGACTTCAAATTCTGTTAGGGGTTTTGAAATAACATCTTTTATCTTTTCTTGACTCGTCACATGTTGTAGTTGTAAATATAAGAACCATGGTATCTTTTGGTCCAATGTCTTTTCTATATCTAACTTAGAGCGAAGGCCCTCTCTTCTAACTACATCACAGTATCTGGATAGACCTACCTCTCTCCATCTTTTCTGTAATTCTTGGTGAGTACTTTTCAAGAACCAAATCTGTGATGTATAAGTGGAGTATCTCGAAATTCTTGGAAGCAGTTTGTGTTTCATTTTTGCCCAATAATTCAAAGAAGGATAAATGAGGTTATCTTTCTTTATATCTGCAATTTTGTTCGATGAATTGCCCCACAAAAGTGATTCAATATTACGTGATTTAGTTTGCTCATAGACTAGATTAACCCATTTTGGTGGCGAAGAATTTCTTTGCATCCTTATAATATTTGCTAATAAAGTTGCCTTGTAATATGTTGTGAGATCTGGAAGACCATAGCCTCCATATATTTTGGGCCTCTTCAGAACCTGGTGACCAATACGTGGTTTCTTCCCATTCCAAAGAAATTTTCTCAATGTGCCTTGCCATTTATGTAATTCAGGTTGTGGGATGTGAATTGGTATTGTCCTAAATAAGAAAAGGAATTTAGGGAGAATAAAGGCTTTTATAAGGTGGAATCTGTCCAACCAAGTGAGGTTCAGTTTATTCCACTTTTGTATATCTCTTTGGACCTTGGTATGTGCATTACGATGATTATGTTGAAGTAAATTTATGTTGTCTTGTGCTAAGTCAATACCAAGATAGTGTAGAGTCTTTGTAATCCAGCTGAAATTGTATTGAGTTTTAATACCATTTTGTACCTGGAGATCAATTGTAATAGCAAGAAATCTCCAGGTGCCGCCTGGAAGTTGGCAACCCTAGTTTCTCCTGTGGCGCCCATTCCTGTGGTTGGCTGTGCCTCCTGCGGCAGCCATTTTGTGCCTTCTGCAGCAGCCACCACTTCAGAAGAAGAAGAAGAGATTGGATTTATACCCCGCCCTTCACTACCCAAAGGAGTCTCAGAGCGGCTTACAGACTCCTTTTCCTTCCTCTCCCCACAACTGACACCCTGTGAGGTAGGTGGGGCTGAGAGAGCTCGGACAGAAACTGCTCTTTTTCAAGGACAGCTCTTATCAGAGCTACGGCTTGCCCAAGGTCATCCAGCCAGGTGCAAGTGGAGGAATCAAACCCGGTTCTCCCAGATGAGAGTCCGCGCACTTAACCACTGCACCAAACTGTAGCCAGGATTTTGTGGCTTTTGGGGCAAAAATTTTTTCTGGTGGGGCCATAATAATAATTTGTCATAATGAAGGGGGTGGCAGACGCCCCGCTCCCTCCCCGCGTGCAAGATTTAAAGGGCCCTTCAGCTGATGGTGGACTTGGCCTGTCAATCAGCTGGAGGGCTGGTTAAATCTTGCAGGAGGGAGAGAGGGGTGTGTGTGCCACCCTCCCTCGCTTCTTTTCAAAAGCATTTAAAGGATTCTTTTAAATGCTTTTGGGAAGAAGCGGGGGGGGGGGCTTTAAGGAAGGGGGCTGGTCCTTAAAGGAAGGGGTGGAGCTCCCAATAGCTCTCTGTAGCTACTGGCCAGCACCACCCTGTGTCAGAATTCCAGCCGTGTCTGCAGGCCTCTGGTTGTAGAACTCTGGGCTGGGTTTAGAACCTGTTTCCATTATGTGTGCATGTGCAGTTCTTTAGGTAGAGGGCACTCCGTGAAATTGCTGAGCAGTCGGGTTAGAAAGGATAAAAGGAAGTACTTCTTCACCCAAAGAGTGGTTAACACTTGGAATTCACTGCCACAGGAGGTGGCGGTGGCTACAAGCATGGACGGCTTCAAAAGAGAATTAGATAAGCATATGGAGCAGAGGTCCATCAGTGGCTATTAGCCACAAGGTATAGATCGGGACTCTGGGGCAAGTGATGCTCTGTCTTCTTGGTGCTTGGGGGGATCAACAGTGGGAGGGCTTCTACTGTCCTGGCCCCACTGGTGGACCTCCTGATGGCACCTGGTATTTCTGGCCACTGTGTGATAGAGAGTGTTGGACTGGATGGGCCTTTGGCCTGATCCAACATTGGCGTCTCTTATGTTCTTATGTTCTTAGGGAGCTTTGACAAGGAGGGGCCTTTAAGAAGTGACTCTAACCCACTTGCACTCTGATAGTACAGCCCACTGTGTGACCTCATTCTTTTGCAGGTCAGGCTTTCTTCTGTTCCAGGTGTGAAACGAGGACCTTGCGAAATTCACAGGAGGGGGTAGCCATATCCACCTTGGTCTATGCAAGACTGAACTGGTATCAAAGGGACAGATGGAGGCTGGTGGAAAGGGCTATGAGGTCACAGCTAACACAGGGCAATCCCGTAGGGTTTTCGGGGCAAGAGCTGAACGGTATGCCATTGGCTGCCTCTTCGTAACACCCCTGGATTTCCTTGTTGGTGACCCATACCGAGGCCAACCCTGTTTAGCTTCCGCCTTCCGAGATTTAACAAGATAGGAATAGCCTGGGCCATCCGCATTAGGGCAGCAGCTAGAGGGACCAGTTTAAATACTGGCAGTCCTAGGTCAAATCCTTTGCGTCATCAATTTAGAAAGAACCTAGTGCAGCAGGTGCTATGAAAGATTGCTTCCTTCTCTTTCTGACGGCTGTTTCCTGGCTTTATGATTTGACATAAC